TGTGTGTGTGTGTGTGTGTGTGTGTGTGTGTGTGTGTGTGTGGTGGTGGTGGTGGTGGTGGAGGGGTGTGGGAGGTGAAGGAGTAGGGTGTGGGGAGGCACTTAAACTCTTCTCTCTTAAGAACAGTCAGTAGTTACAGGAAGCAGTTGGGCAGCTTAAAATGACTCTGGTGTTATGTAACACCAAGGTCCCAGGTTCAGATCCTTGCATCAGGCAGCCACCGAAAAAAAAAAAAGACCACATTAAATTGACTCTCTGGTGTAATCACATGGGTCTGAAACTCCTAAACAAGAAACACAGACAGAACATACAGAGCTCAGAAAAGATGTTACTTATGTGACTAGAGTGGAATGGAATAACTAGGTGACTCACAAGAGCCGAAGCGGGACCCAGTCCGGGGAGTAATCTAATCAGCTACAACATCAACAATGGAATGGAAAGAAAATATTTCCAAATGCAGATATTCTCCTAGTTTCCTCATTCTTCTACCTAAAGAGTATATGACACTATGGTGAAATGGATTAGAAATTACACAGGCAAGGGTGGGGAAGGGAGCCCAAAAGCTCCCTTCTCTGCCCCAGGGGAACCACTCTGCAAAGTTATCTCTTCTGTAAGGAATCAGTCAGCAGAGTGCTCTCCTCAGCCCCATGGAACTAGCCAACCCCTTCCTTCCCCAGGATCCAACTTATGGGGCTGTTGTCCTTGCTTCCCAGGGGAAAAGCTAAAAGCTGTGAGTGAGACTATGTAAAATCCACAAAAACTGTACAAAGAATCACTTACCCTTCTGGGAGCCACTGAGACAGAGGGGGGTAACCATCATCTGGAATCTTTAAAAAGAGATAGAAAAAAGTTAGATGCTGGGAAAGATGAAAGACTGCCTGTAGGTTGGACAGTGAGAGTAAACTAGGAAGCCCAGAGCAGAATAGGTCAAATTTACCATGTGGTAACATAGCCAGACTGATGTCTAAGCCAAAGGCCTGACCACTAAGGGCAAATAGCAGGCTGCTGAAATGAGAGGTTCTTGTCTCTCTTCTTCCCAGGAAATAGAAAGGATATAAGGCCAAGCTCACTGAGATCCCAGGGCTAAGGTCCACTGGGAGTGTGACAGCTGCCAGAACTTATATCCCCCCCACCCCACCCCTTATACAAGCCATTAGTGTAGACAGCAGTAAGTCGAGCCCAGGAGAAGAGCTTATTTCAGCTTCCAGGCCTCACTAAAGCAAATGGACAATTTCGTATAGAGTCTGGTCTTCTTCCACCTATATTCCTAAGCTCCCTTGGCTGCCCCAGAGTCAGACCTGGTCTTCATGGATTCCCATCTCGTCTTGTGGTTTTACTTAGCTTGGGTTCCTTGAACCCCTAACTCACTGACAGTGAGTACACATGTATGAGTACACTGACACTGAGTCCACTCTCTACATTTGATAAGCTCTATGTAACAAGAGAACTCAGGGCAGATTACACATCTGGGTCATCATTTTGGTGAATCTTATAGGCCCTAGAATGAGAAGTTGAAAATTGAGGCACCAAATAATTTAAGGAAGAAACAGTTAAAACAAAACAAAAACAAAAAACCCCCACTTTTTAAAGGTTTCTGCTATAAAAAAAAAAAAAAAAAAAAAAAAAAGCAGCAGCAAATATTTCAAGCAGTGTACATAGAAGAGAGAGTTCCAAAGCTGCCAGGGCTCTTCAGAGAACCAACAGCGCATGCTTTTCAGGCAAAAGAAACCTAGTACTAGCAGGTCTGGGGCTTACTGTTTCTCCTTGTTCTCCACCTCCAACAACTACCCTAACTATCCTGAAGCAAATGAGCTCCAGAAGGGATACAGAAGTAAGCTGCTTAACTTTGGACAGAGGTGTTTTGGGAGAGCTAAAGGTGGGAGAAGTTAGGAAGAGAATGAGGCAAGACAGGATAGAATAGAGGGAGATAGGCAGGGCTAATGAGTGATGGAAAAATGAGCAAGAACTACCCTGGATAATCAGTTGGCTCAGATGAACTTTGGATTTAAGACCCTTCTCAGGTTGTCTATGTTCTAATCTAGCCTGGGTGCCTACTTCCCACAGCCCCCATTCCATCTCATCTGCCTCCTATCCTGGAGAAACTGCAAGTCTCCTAATATTGCTTATGCGCATGGGTAGGTGCAGGGGTTAGGGGTGGGCATGGTGACAGCCCATCCCTAAATCTCCACATCCTACCAACCAGAATTTATCTTCCCTTTGGAAACAGCCACTGTACTGGGCAGATTCTTATTTCCTACCCAGATTCAGATATTTGCCACAAACCACCAGGCTTAAGAAAACAAAGTCAAAAAAATTCTTTAGGAGCCAGTCTCAGATCATGTGCATTTCCTGTGCTCAGAGGGGACAATATGTCTAGTCTGCAGAAGCCTGCACATACAGCAGGCACACACAGCACACTGAAGGAGGGCGGGGTGGGGTGGTGGTGGTGGGAGGAGGTCTAGACAGATCACCTACAGGACGTATATTCATAGACACAACTTGTGCCTGAAGGAAACACAAAGTAAGCATGGATCCTATGTTTATGGCTTCAGAACATATGCACAAACTCATTTGGGAAGGATACACAGAATTCACTAGGGCCTGAATCACAAGCAAAGCAAAGCCTCACTGTCTTCAAGAGCCAGTGCTTGCAAGCACAGAGTATTAGTATACTATGCATTCAAGTGGCTTGGAGGAACCACATAATAGGTCTACGGAAACTTGTACTCACAAAGAGACCAGGAAGCCTGCTCAGAAGAAGAAAGCACATTCACATTTATGGCCCCAAGCAAGAGGCACAAAAAGCCTATATTAACTCCTACTCTCAAATACAAAGTATTCATGCATGCTGGGTTCAGCCAGGGTTTACAGCATGTGCCAGAGTTTGCAGCAATAGGTAGAAAATGGACACACGTTAGGCAGAGTAGGAGAAGAGGAGGGCAATCAATGCCTGGGGGAGTCAAACTGAGTACAAGTGTAAGCACACACATGCTACATTCAATGTGCACCCATGCCAGCACACGCACATTCTCACTCTGTGCTCCAGAGACGTCTACAGGAGCACACATAAGCATGGAGCATGGACACAAACTGTTTCCCAAAAAAACAGACTATCTGCATGAGCCAAAGCTCAGAGGCACAGAGCATGCACACATGTACACGCCCACACACAGTGCTTGGGAGGGAGGGGTGAAGAATAAACAAAAAGGGCCCAAAGGGCCACAAGGACAACCTGAAGGGCTCCTCGCTTTCCTTCTGCAAGGAGAGAAAGAGTAGGAAAAAAAGAGCAGAATGGTTAGTAGATTCAGTCCTATATCAGGAAACCCAAAGAAAATGCCAGCTAAACCCAAGGGACACAGAGGAGAGGGAAACCACAGCCAGCTGACTGGCTCCCAGAATCCTTATAGCCTGTATTTGCTGGTCCCTGCTTTTTAGTTTGGAACATCCCACGGGCAACTTAAACCAAAGGACAAAGTCTACCTGGAGATTCCAGTCCACCCTTTTCTCTTTTCCAAAGTGGCTACATCCAGGGACAGGGCTGTCAAGGCCGTTAAGACCAGCTTTATTGCCAAGGACCACTCTAACAGGCTATTATCCAAAGCTGGCTGAGCACAGAGTGAGTTTTCTCCTCAGAAGCCACATGAGCTTACTCTGGATCAGGGATAGGTCTTCAAACCCCAAAGGCCTGGTGGCCAAACCCTTTCCATTTTGCAATGCAAGCTTGGCTCTGCATTTGCCCAGCAAGACCTAGCCTGTTTTCCCAGACCCTGAATTAAGTTAGGCCAGGGTAAGGCCTGGAGTTAAGGCCAGGACCAGGATGCTGAACATACTGTGGGGCATCAACTGGCTGCTGCCCCAACAGTGATCTGTCACAGTGATCTGGATGATAAAACCATGACTCAGGCTTTATTATTTATCAAACCCTGAACAACATTCCTAAGGAAACAGACAATTCCAGAAGGACCCAAGTAAGCCACAACAGGAGAAGAATAAAGTTTAGAGATTACTCCTTTCCTACTTGTCAGACTACATTGCCTTCCAGGCCACATATAAATAGGCCCACGGGCTTTCTTCTCTAAGGAAAGTCCAACCACCTGGGCCCATCAGCTCCCCTCCACTTTCTTTTCCCTCCCTTTTAAAGACCCACTGATATCACGTCACAAGAAAAAAGGAGAATCCATGAAACTAATTCACAGGTTCTCAGTTTTTCAAGCTATTTCTGATGACCCAATAGGCCACCTGTCCCAACAGAAGAATGAATTAAAGACTAGGAATCCTACAAAACAGCGCAGTTCCAGGAAGGTGGGAAAGATGAGACAGACAACTTCCTGGAATGGGGACATAGCTCTTCTGCATCTACATCCCAACTCCCTCAGAACACTCTGCTCCCTTTGAATAAGAAAATTAGGCAAGGACCACTTTAACTGACCCTATGACTCAAACTAGAAATGTTTCTCTCCTCCTGCACCATCTTAAATACATTCTACATACCATGTCAAAGTTATTTTGATTGTGTCCTGTTCCCCGCCAGATTTCCCCATAATGCCTAAAGAATAAAATCTGATCTGTTGACAAGGCTGTCAAGGTTCTCCATGAGCTAACCCCAATCCCAATTCTCCTCTCCCACTCCCTTTCTTGACTCCCATTTATACTTCCTACAATCTAATTGCCTTGTTTCCCAAAAAGGTCACATACTCAAAACTCCACATATTTGCTTACTCATTAATGCCATTGCATCAACCTGAAACAGCATCTCGCACCTTCTTTCCACAGAGGAAAATCCAATTCCTCCTCCAAAGAACAGTTTTGGGAAACCTTTCCTGATGCCCACCCAAGCAATGGTAATTAAGCCCTTCTAGTGCCCTAAGTTCTGTTCATCCTTCTCATTGGTATTTAATATGACAGATGCCTTGACAAATCCCACCACTGTACAGATGAGAACCACAGCAAACAGATGCAGATTTTTAACCTCAACTGGGTCCTCAGTGTCTCTTGACAAGTCTCTCCCATTTCACTAGTCAGCTCTTCCACTTCTCAAAGTAGCTATACCTAACTGTTAAGTCCCTACTTTACCCCAACACATTAACAACTGCCTATTGCATATCACCTGGATATCCCATGCTTAGTTCAAATTCAACATGTCCAAGGGGCTGGCCAGTTAGCTCAACTGGTTAGAGTGCAGCCTTATAATACCAAGGTGATGGGTTCAGATCACCGAACTGACCAGCCACCAAAAAACAAAAAAACAAAAATTCAATATGTCTAAATACTCACTTATATCTTTCACCTCTAAACTCCTCCTCCTCCCTATATCTGAGATCTGAGACCCCCAGTCAGACACTGGATTCCTCCCTCTGTCCATCCCATCACTATCCAGTCAATCACCCAGCCCTATATATTCTACGTCCTAAATATCTCTGGCATCCATTCCTGCCTCTCTGTTTCAAACTATCATTGCCCTAGTCCAGGATCTCATCACTTTTTTTGTTTGGTTGATTGCATCAGTGGCTCCCCATTCCTTATTATAGCACATAAACTGCTTCAATATTTATACTTTCTCTACCATTCTAGCTTTCCTTTCCTTTTACTCCTTTTCATAGAGGCCCTATATTCAAGCCTTACTGAACACTGTCCATCACATCTGTGACTCTGCACACCTTCCTCCCATACCTCTCAGGACTACTGGGTGGGCTCAGTCTCATTCTTTAAAATTTAGCTCAAATATTAATGCCTCTTTGAAATTTCTTTATCTGCCTTCCTCTCAAAGGCAGAATTAAGTGCCTCTTCACGATATGCTCATGAAACTCACCCTTCCATGTGCACACTTCCTTAAGAGTATGTTATCAATACAATGTTTCATTGTAGTCATCTGTATAAATATCTCCCTTTACATTTCTTTAACTGTGAACTTCTTGAGAACTTCTTGTGGGCAAGGATTCTGTGAACGTCTGGAGAGTAAGGATCATATATTTTATTTCAGCTTTGCAGCCCAAGGGCTTAGCACATCCCCTAGCATTTGTATGCAGCAATGGGAAACTGCAACTTTCAGGACTTCAGAAACAACAGCTTTTCTCAGAAGGTGTCTCTTGCCCAGTACAGAGAAGACACAGGTCTCTTAATCAGTACCATTTTCCAGACACTGAAGAACTGCTATATTAGCTATATTCACTTTTTCCCACCCGCTGGACAAATATTTTTTAAAAAACAAACAAAAACCAAAAAACTCTTCTTGTTAAGAATCAAATTTCCTATGTTTCCTAACTTCCTTAAATGCCTTAGGATTCTTCCACTCAGATTTAGTTTTCAGTTTAAGTTATAAATGTCTGTAAAACAACTGCTTTGCAGAAAAATCTTTGATCCCTAAAATAATCTCACTCTTCCAAACAGTCCATTTTATGAGAAAGTAACATACCTCCTTCATCCTCCCTCCCCCCAATATGCCCAATAAAACCATCTTAACTCCATTGTAATTGGGAGTCAAAAGACTTGAGGCACTGAACTTATTTGAGACTAAATTTCCTTATCTGTAATAAGTGGGTAAGAACAGCTACCTCCCAAGGTTATTGCGAGGATTCATTTCTTCAACAAATACTTATTAAGAACTAACTGTACACTAGGCACTGTTCTTGGTTCTGGTAATGCAGCAGTGAATGAAACAAACTCCCTGATCTTGAGAAGCTTTTATCTCATAGGAGGAGCAAGATGGTGATAGCAGCTAACATTAATTGAACACATACTATGTATCTGACATCTTATTTGAGTAAGCTCATTTATTTCTCATAATAGCTCTGCTGGGTAAATACTATTATCTCTACTTTTTTGTTTATTAAACTGAAGATCGGAGAGTTAAGAAACTTGCCTAAAGTCACAGTATGTGGTAAAGCCAAAATTCAAAACAGGCATTCTGGTTCCAGAGTCGACTCTCCAAAAGAAATAAACATATGCTACACCACGTGATAGGGACTCTACTGAAAAATTCAGGTAAGAAAGAAAGATAATGCTCCCTGATGATGGTGTTAAGAGTTGCTACTAAAATTTATAAAGGGTAGTCAGGGAGGCATCATTGATAAGGTGACATCTAAGCAGAAACTTAAAGGAAATGAATAAAGAAGCCATTCACAGTTCTAGGAGAAAAGTATTTCAGGCAGAACATAGAGCAAGGGCAAAGCCTGAGATGAGAGAATAATTAGCATGGAGGAACAGCAAGTTTGCAATAAAGTGCCAGTTCAAACAGGACTCTATAGGCCCTTATAATAATTCTGGTTTTCATTCTGAACGAGACAGAAAGTTACTGAAAGGTTTTGAGCAGAGAAGTGTTATGGTCTGACTCATACTTTATAAGGATTACTCTGCAGTGGGGAGAACAGACTATATGGAACAAGGGTAGAAACAGGGAGACCAGTTGGACTACTGCAATAATCTAAACAAGAGAAAATGGTGACTTATATAAGGATGATAGTGTTGGAGGGGGCCTAGCCAGTTGGCTCAGTTGTTAGAGCATGGTACTGACAACACCAAGGTCCAGGGTTCAATCTCTGTACCAGTCAGCTGCCCCCAACCCCCCCCCAAAAAGAATGACAGGGGTGGAGGTAGAGATAGTGGTAAGACTTAGAATATTTTTTATAGATAGAGGCAGCAGTAGAATTTACTAATGGACTGGATGTGAGTTGTGAGTGGGAGAAAAAAAGAGAAGTCAGGAATGACTCTATGGATTTAGGCCTGAGTAGCTGCAAGAATGAAGTTGCCACTTGCTGGTAAAAAAAAAGACTATAAGAAAAGCATGTTTGGCAGGGGCTTTGGGAGAAAGACAAGGAGTTTGGTTTTCGATATGTCAAGTCTGGGATGCCTATTTATATCCAAATGGGGATTTTAAGTAGATGTGGAGTCTGGTGTTCACAGAAGATGTCTGGGCTGAAGATATAAATCTGGGAAGGTTTATAAAACTCATGTGTTTGAAAGATTATCACCTAGGAAGTGAGCATGAATTAAAAAGTCAGGATTGAATCCTGGAATGCTACAAGGTTGGAGAGATGAGGAGAGACCAGCAAAAATGATTGAGAAGGAATGGCCAGTAATGATGGGAGAGAACTAAGACAGAGAGGTGTTCTGGAAGCCAAGTGAAGAAAGTGTTTCAAAAAGGAGAAACGGAGGCATCAGGATAGACTAAAGATCAAAGGAATAGAATTAACTAACGCAAAATGTATCACAGACCTAAATATAAGAGCTAAAACTATAAAACTCTTGGAAAAAAAACA